AGTAGTTGAGATCATGCTTATTGATCAGCAAATTAAAGCATGTTATACGGAGGCTGCAAGAGTATTTGGATCGATGTTCCCTGCATGGGATTGATAACAAGCAAAAGTATATCGTCGTTGATATTTGACGTTCCAAGTGCTTGTTCTTCAGGCCCACTCCAGGCTCCAGAGGGGGAGAGAGAGAGAGAGAGAGAGAAAGACAATTGCGAATCAGAGCTAGAACGAACAGAAGCGATACGTGTAGCTACTTTACAACTACCTGGTCTCTGCTTCTTCCTTGTATTATCGAGCTTTATAAACTTAATCAACAAAATTGCTTCCCTACCCTAATAGCAGAAATGCTTGAGTTCCCTGAAGAATCCTAGACGCAACTTGCATTTCGTTACTTCCCACCTTTTTCTCCAACAACACGTCATTGAAAGTCGGTCAGAGTTAATCATGACTAAAGTTTGTTCCATATGTATATATGCGCTACCGCAGTGGTAGCCGCTCAGGTAAATGGCGATCAGCAAACAGAAAAACGTTACCGTCAATTTGATGTTATTTATTTTCAATATAAGCTATTTTTTTTATTATTATTATTCATTGTGGCTATGTCTATCACGGCGCCGCTCTCGTATATCAATTAGCTAAGGTAGTGTAATGGGAACGTTGCTCAGCTTCAGCTCCATACCGGATTTTTGCTTTACCAGATTGGCGAGATAGTTGCCACTGTTGACGCAGAGGGGCCTGTATCGAAAATACGCTTATATCATCCATTCGTTCACTATTATCAAAATTGATTATGCAATCTTTCCTGTAATTTACTTGCGGCCGAATCGTCTTTAAATTACCAAGCGTTTCTGCTGCCCACTGAGTCACGCTTTCAGCAGCTGTCGGTTTGTTGTTGTTTTTGTTGTTGTTATTCTGTGATCAAAGCTGCTGTTTTTAGTAGGCCTCCTTTCGACAATTTTTACCGCGGGACCGTCGCGAGAGGCGCAAGTGAAATCTATCTTAGACCGCCGCCAGCGCGATTACAGTTTGTCTTACACTCAATCAGAAGTCTTTCATATCGCTGCCATTGATACATTCGGGTGCTGTCATTGCTGAGTAAGTTAGTGACGACACTGCGTAAGGCTACTGATTTCCGTTTTAAAAAGAAGAAAATTATGACATTTGTGTATATATATATATATATATATTTCGGATACTGTTTTTCTTTCCCTTTTCGCACACTCAAAAAAAAGGCTTTAACTGACTGATGTGTTTTTGACTTCCGTATTCAGGCTGCCCTAATAGTTACCCGTCGGCGATGTATAATGCCTGTTGAATGAAGCCTGCTTCGACGGACTGGCCTGGTGATTGCATACAGTGCGGGTATGAAAATTAATAGTTGTCAGTACACGATAGCCTTAAGCAGCTATCGCTGTGATGTACGTTATCGACATTGGCGTCTCCGATACTCGTGCCTGAATCATCTCGATCGATACCAGGCCCGTTAATGAAAATTTGGGATATCTATTCGGGCATGTTTATGTCGCTTATTCCCGTCTGCGCTCACAGTTAAATGGAACAAGGAAGATATGCGAGCCTGGTCAATAATCTGTCTTGTTTTACTATACTGCTAATATGCTTAGTCTGACATTGTGCCGAGTTAGCTTAACTGCTATTGGTGCACCAGCTGCGGTAGCTGATGTGCTGCCCTCGTCGTCTTAGTCTCATCTTTTAACCGTTGATTTTTGACTTTTTTTTCTCAAAGATGGAAAATTAGGGGGTGATTTTTCTGTGCAGGGTCGGTCTTTCGTTTGAATCTCTCTTTTTTTTTTTCATCGGTTTCATCGTCTATCCTCCCACTCGTCTGATGAGCTTTTCTACTTATATTTATTTACAACTGCTTCGACACTTCTGTTGCAATGGGCATACTTCTGCGGATAGGCTGACGCGCTTTTGCGTTCTGTTTCGTTGTGTAGAATCACAGTGATGGAGCTAGTGGCGGCAGGATTATTTCAGCAGTAATTCGGTCTGACCTTTACTGCCGTATTCGTCGAACTGCCGCCGGAAGTGCCGTTGTGAGTGTGTTGTCCGCTGAATCATGCAGGAGGTTCAAGTGAAGACGGCACAAAGCACATCACTACCTCATAGGTTCCTTGCGCGGCCGGAGAGGAAGCCCGGCAGCAAGCCCCAGAGGAGTTGTATCGGACTTCTGCTCGAATGGGCTTGTAGTAATAGCAGTAGTTGTCGTAGCTAGTCAGACTCGAAGAAGACGAGGGGATAGAAAGAACAAGTAACCATCACCAGGCCCGTCTACACGGGCGGTGTGCGACGTCGTAAATATCGACGATTTCTAATCGTTTCTGTATCTGTCCGTACGTGCAGCTACGACAATTTTGAAGAGGGGAGAATTTCTTTTGGTTAATTTCACTCTGAAGATGAACAAAAAAAAAGAATGCTTTCTGATTGCTCTTCAACAGTTACGTCTGAGACAGACGTCTGATTTGCTCTGGATCGTGGCAGAACGTTAGCTGATCTGCTACAAACAAAGCACAAGGGGACAACGTACTTCATAATCAACTCAAACTAAAAAACAGAATGTGCAGACGTTATTAATGATGGCAAGTTATTGATTAGTAAAGTTGAAACACGGCAAAAAGTGTCACAGTGTTTGATAGAGGAAACAGCCAGGCCAAGATAGTCGGTAGAGTCGTATTGTTGTACGCCGTCAACAACTACCAATAAGCGCATTATTGATAAGCGCGGATATCTTTTCAAGCTGCCATTCATTCGTTGCAGGACAAATGCCTCAAGCATGAGGACACAGCTGTCCAAGGGCTTAGTCCTACGGTGCCTCCAACTTAAGAGAGATCGGTTTTAACTGGTTGATTTAAACCTAAAATCCACCCATATGATATTCTTCGGTCACATATATGCATATATTTAGCTATATCTGCTGCAAGATTTGCTTTTATCGTGGCGCAAAATCGCTTTTTCAGTGCTTTTTAAGATATCGTACGATACAAAATTGACGAAAAGTAGCACGAATATAGATTAGGGGTCTCTTATCGTAGGTATCGCGCTGGTCAGTGCTGCTCCACAACGCAATACCCTAGTTACGTGGTTAGTCCAACACGATTTATAAGTTACGTGACGATTTACCGAGTCTTAACCAGAAACTGTATCTCGCTTAGCGCTTATCCTTTTTGCTAAATACGGAAGTTCTACCGCATTTTAGAATATAAGGAGTATTCATCATGCTTCTAAAACTATACGGGTTAAAACATAAACGGCCTGTCACATTTTTAGTTTTAGAGGCTGTTATGTAGCTTGTGATAAGTAACGGAAAACTTAAAATTCGATGCAGGGTAAATATATACGATGAATAGTATAGCTTTTTCATTGTTTCGCTTTATTTAGTAAAGTCAAGCATGTAAGCTTAAAGTTCTTGCGTTACTTATAATAGAATAGTTTTGAGAACTTAAAGCAATTGGAAGAATTAAAGATTGCTGATCTGAGCCCCGCTGTCGACATCTAGAACATTATAGGGGTAATATAAAAAAGAAAGCTATGGAAATTTATCCTCACAAAAATGGCACATATAATCCTTATAGAACGCTTTCTTTTTGTCTCTGTCGCAAGACTAGCCCTCTTTTTTTTGTCTATGAAAGTGTCAATTGTGTTCTCTCTTCTCTGTTTATCCTGTTTTATAAAAACGAGAACTTTCAAGAGGAGCATTTGTTTTAAATATGTTCATTATACAGAGAGATGACGAAAATCTTACGGTGTTACTTACGATCGTCTTTCAGGAACAAGATTCATAATCTCCTCTATGTACAACAAGTTTAAACGAGCGATTTTTTGCGTGCACATTATGAAAAGTCCAATCTGACTACGTCACACCCCTCATTAAGAAACGTTCTCAAATTAAATTCTATGACATTATCATATTTTTCAGTGTAATTCCTATTGCCCATGTCAACCAGTTGGTGGATGAAGACGCTCGCCCAGATATTACATATCTGCTACTAAACCGAGGGTTGGCAATCTATGTGCTTCTCAACCACTAATTTTGTTCTATTAATTTCAATCGTAGAAATCGGTGAAACGTATTGTTAGATACACTCAGCATGCGAAAATAGAACTTAATAGATCTTTTAAAATTACGCCGAAGGTGTAAAGTCGTATGGGGGTGGTTCGAGTTGTTCGTGCCTTCGATAAAAGTAGCCAAGCGATGTGAAGGTCAGTCATAACTGTTTCTGTAATATAGGTGAACTTGATGCAGTCCCCTTGGAATGGGCATCATACAGGGCGAAAATAGCAAAATAACTGTGAACTTTCTCAAAGTTAACGAACAATTGTTTCAAAAGTACGCCGTAATAACTTTGCCGAGGAAAATCTAGATAGGAAACAACTTGAAAATCGAATTTTTTCACAAAACGCCGTTTATAGCTTATTGAGGCGTTTAGGAAACGAAAATAAGCAGAAAGCTAGGCTATCAAGGCTTAAAAAACACAAGCTGAAAACAGATATCCTAATCATGCATTGTAGCATAAATATTAGCTCTAAGTAGCATAAATATAATGCTCTAAGTAGAGTTTCTAATTCACTATAGTATACACTAAAAAATATTCTGCTATCAACGTAATATAAGCGGAACCGTAAAAAAGCTTTGATACGGCAGTTTTCAATAATTTTATTACCAATTAATGCAGAACTGAATCTGTTCTAAGATGGCAATTGCTGAAGAGAAATCAAGTAGCAATATTGTCGTATATTGCAGACAATACGATCCCGTATATCGTCAACCGGTTTTGAGTTTACTGGAACTAACCGGAGAGCACACTAGTGGCAGAAGCGACTGACGACAGGCGTGCGTATTTTTCAGTTAAAACTCAAAGGAACGGTCCGCCGATTGCCAATTGCCGACCTGCAACAGACGCTGCTCGTTTTGCCATCCTTTTCCCTTTCCGGCCGCTTCTTTCGTCTGCTGAAGTCATTTTCTGCAGTCGGCCTATCTTTTGCTGACGCTTCTGCGTGAATCTCGTCTCTTGCTGCTGCCGTGGATCCCCTGCAGAACTTTTCGTGCGTATGCCCGTGTCCCTGTGCGTATAGATGTATGGCATGCAACGGAAGATTGAGTAGAGATTCGAGAAGAAGGGCGCTTTGGGAAAGGGGGGCCGAATTTAAGGGCCCGTACCACGGTGCCGATACGACGCACTACGAGACAGATGAGTTAGATAAGAGTGCAGGCTACTTCTGGGAATCGGTCAGAAAGCGATACGGTACGTTTGAGGATATAGAGGACCGGATCGACCCTATGTGTGTGCAGAGGACGAATATCTAGATAAGGTAAGTAGCATATGAAATTGTCACGAGCGAGTGATCCAAACAAATATCCCGCATAGAAGATGAACGACTCTGACTGGGTGCTGTCCCGACCGTCTGCTTTAAAATAAGTGGCCACTACTGCACGTGATAGCCAAACCTCTAAAGTGCAAGGCTTCCACGTTTCTATAAAAGTTCAATGCGTTGAGTGATATGCAACGGGTACCCCCCCCCCCCCCCCCCCAAACGCGTGATGGATGACGTAAGTGAAACCTCTGTCTCTTCGCGTGGTCTCGTGAAAACGTGTTTATGTGCGGACGGGTGGTATGGTGGATCGTAGTAACTTGTTGAAATCATATTTTCTTCTCAGTCACTAATACGCTCAGTTGATCCCTGCTGTCTAAAGGTTGAAGATAGACTAATGGGACATGCAGATTGGTGTGCTTGTAATAAACTGAATCTAAATGGTCACGACTGAAAAAATATGAAACCATTATCTCAAATTGGTTATTGTATAACTCATCCGTAACTGTAAAACGATCTAATTTCTTCACGGTGTTGCCCCCGTATGAAATATATATTCGCTAAAAATGATATAGTTGCTTCTTTTCAAATGTTTACCATCAAGCCTTTTTGCTAACAGAGATGCTTCTCAGTAGACCATCAATTCGGAATTACCCACATCGATTATTGTGAAGTTTTCGATCGATCATTTATTGCCATCGGCCCCATCTGAGCGGAGTGGTATGCCATCATATCAGTGTGAATGTGTATGAATTCATTGGGTGGCAGTCACAGAGAAAACAGCGAAGGAGCCATAGTATAAAGAAAGACAAAGCGACATTTCACGATGAACCGTTAGATGGTCGAAGGAACGAAGCATCGTGACAGGGAAGCACAACAATCTATTTCGTCCGGTGAACGGCCTTTGACGGGTGCGCGAATATTGACTAAATATCGAAGAAGCGTTGATAGTACTCGATTGTCCGGTGGCCACTGTAATTGAGGCGTGGCCCTACTAAGTAACAGTAGATCTGCAACGGGGCTTATGAGAATTTTGCTGGAGAAAGTATTGCGTTATGCGGTGTCTTGTCGGGTGAAGCACACAGTTGGAAAAGCTTTTTAACGAACTTCGAATAAAAAAAAAAAAGCAATTTACGAACAACTTTATTGAAGTTGTTATGAAGACTTTAGGAACATAAGAATCGCGGAATGACGCAACAGAAGAAGTGTGCACATCACTTTCAGCGGCGAAGGAGTTCCTGAGTTTCTGTTGAGGCCCGAGAGAATATATATTGTTTTATTTGATATATTGGCAAAGCAGGAAAGTCGCATTCATAACACACCGTACCAAGCGGTGTAGCTCTGTAAAAATTGTCCTAAAAATTTGGTCAGGCCAAGACAGCTCAGAGAAACGGAGTGAACGGATCCAGGTTTGCGGGGGGTGAAGGTAAAAAAAATACAACTTCTAGAGTGGGGATGTCCAGACCTTCGTAACGCAGTGAAGCTATGATTGAAGTCGATATTAATCGGCTTGAAGCTCGCCTAGATGGAGCGTGATCGCATTATAAATAGTTACCATATATATGGATACAATCGATACCCTTACGAATACCGTGAGGCAAACATCTGTGCCAAAAAGTAAACAAAAGTGACCAGGATGCCATCAGTAAAAAATGGACTTCATAGAAAAGGACACCCTAGAGTATTAGCTAAATTTATTTTACAACAGGCTAGACTAAGGTGTAATACATATTTATAGCCAATGATTAATTAATAATACGAAGAAAGAATGTTCGTCCGCACCTAGCGTGGGGCACTTTTGACATAAACAGTTTTAAAGGCTTTCAAATTAATATATAAGTTTACTATATCATTGAACAACAGGACTAAAAAACAAGTCCTACGAGGCTTACTCCTAGAAATCGTAACTATATTCTGCAGACGAGATTTGCAAGCTTGTGATAATTTCTAACAGAAATCATATTTGAGTTACATTTGTTTTCAACAAAAGCTTTGTTATGAGGGACACTATTTTTTGCCGGAGCTATGAGGTCAGGCTAGAACTTCGGCACTGGAACAGATGCTTACTATAGTCATTGATCTGCTGCTACTTCTTGCGACTGAACGCATTATAGGACCGACGACTATCGACCGACGCACTCAATGAATGATTACTATTTCCAATTGAAGGGAAGACACCACAAAACTTCAAGTAGAACTATTGAAGAAAAGAACAAAAGAGAATATTATCAATTGTGTATTGTCGAACGCCGATATAGGCATACTAGAGTTGCCCCTTGAGATCTATTAATAACACCTTCTTAACAGAATATGAAGTTTAAAAAACGATGAGTCAGTGTACATAAACTATTGGCTACGATGGCTAAAGTTACCGTCATTTCTAGAGACGTCTTTAGTCGATGATAGTAATTATATAGGCAAATCCGTCCAGTTATGACAGGCCGAGTTTTTACTTTGGACGACCTTTTTCAACAGTTGGATTTATGCAGAATTAGTATATATATATATATATATACTGCCGTGCTGTCGTTGAATTTGCCATCTTTCAGCTGATCATTAATTTTTCATCTGGAGAGATCACGAGTACCGATGATTTTAAATGTTGTTGATTTTTATCTGTTCCAAGGCAAAACAAAGATAGTGGAAATTTGTTTTTAACGGGCGTATCAGTGGCAGTCACTATATCATGTTAATTTGGCAATTCCTAATAAGCAAGATAGCTGCAAAATAATATAGGCTTCTCACTCTGATGCAGGACAAACGATTTTCCGAACGTCCAGTAAAATGGTGAAACAAGGACGCAGGGAAAATTTTCAGCCACTTGTAGGATCCCAAACGCCTCCGAGCTTCACTATACTAATTCATTAAATCGACACGCGTAAGATTCGTGGCGAGTCGCTAATTCAGACTGGAATCCTGCTACTATTATAACATAATTTCCATTTTAAAAGTTGAACCAAATGATAATTCTTTAAGCTTAAAATTACATTTTCATCTGCTAGGAAAAAAAATAGCTCTCTATATATGTTGTGTACAGCGTATGCGAGTGCCGATTAAGTTCACAGAAGTGAAGTATCAGTCTAGTACGTTGACGAAGCATTTATTGAAGTGTATCACTTCATTTGCTTAGTCCGAACGTATACAATAACCTAAAAAAACCTTCTATAAAGTAAAAAACATATCAGGACAGCAAATATCTAAACGAAATTTGTCACTGGGCGATCTTCCAGGACAAAGAGAAAGCTAGCACAATAACTATGCACTTCGTTGGTGTTCGTTATCTAACGTCCGTGAACGTAGAATTTCTGTTCCGTTTGTCTAGTTGCTCCCTGGCTGCTAATTAGACAAGACTATTCTGTTTTTCTCATAATCATGGGTTTCGTAGGACAGAACATTGGAGTATCAGTAGAAAGCATTCTGCTAATTCGTACAGATCTGAACTGGCAGCAGCAGCGGGAAAAACACGTGCTTTAGCAGTACAGCGTTGTTTTTTTTTCTTTTTTTATTGTCTATGAATTACAATACACATAACTAAATTGCCGTCGAGGTGTGCCAGCCGTTGCAAAAGTAAAAGTATACGATGTAGGTGTATAGGATAGCACAGCTGACTCCATGTCGCAAGTGACTGCTTTAACGACAATTCTAAAATGAGACAATTACTAACAAAAATACAGCTGGTATTTATCGCCACTTCATTGTAAAGTCACAGCCTCTCGAAGGTCTATTTCAATCCACACAAGCAAACGTATAACTTAGTGTTTCATACAACGGGTTTATTGAAAACAGAAGTTCGGCACTAAACGTAGTGTTCTACAGCGCTGTGCCACGTTTCACAGCGTTCGATATAACGTTATCTAAACTGATACCATTCAACTAAAATACATGAGGCAGCAAAATCTATGCATGATGGATTGGGTAAATGGGCAATCACCTACGTCAGCTAATTGTCTCATGTAGTAATTTCTGCTACTTTTCATGACTACCCGGTCCATTGGCGCCTATTACTGATTTTGCCGTTGTTTATTCGCTCAGTCCCACGCGCGCGAGGTTCGGAGATTGTAATGTCTAACGTTTGTTCGTTCCCGCCGTTCAGGAAAATAGCACGCGCCAACAGTAGCTTGCGCCACGCATAAAGGAGACAAAAGTAAATATATATAAACTATATTGTCTGCCATTGGTTTGTTAAGCCGTGCACGTTTATATAGTCCCTCCCTTCAACACACACGAAAATGATTATCACGAATATCAACAACGATTGACTAAATATGTGTGGGGGGTTTATTTCAAACATTGTTTTTTTGTTTTTATCCGACTTACCCTTTTCAGTAAGTGAGTAAGTCCAACAAATGAATCTCGATCTGTTTCGTATCTACATCAACGCTGGCAGCTGTAAAGATGCCGAGCAGTTCAGAATTATTGTGGACTTCCGATGTACGAAACGGATGAGATCGGCCACGGCCAAGATCGACCCCGATAGGACGCATATGATTAGTTACTTTTGTCTAATAGCAAAGATACAATTACGCCTTACATAGAAAAGGGTCAGCGTTTTTAGCGCTGATAAATGCATCAAAGCCCCTGTTCGAGTGCACCGAGATGTGACGAAGTTCGCAATATTTAAACTGTAGCATCAAATCCCATTTGTGCTACCGCAAAGAAACATTATATAATCATCATTCAATGATTTACCAGTACAATTTTAGCAGTAACTTACGTAACCTATGACGTTTTCCAGGGAACGGCCCGCTCGTTTCTTAGCAATGCGGCTTTATTGCCGAAATAGTTTAATAACTAACACACGAATCATGTTAGCGCTGAAAAACACCGACGTCTTACGCTCCGTTACTCGATTGACCGTACAGCCAAATCGATAACAGCTTCGGGAAGCTTTCAAGGGAATGATTCCATTGTTTGCAGCGAATAAATTTCTGGCTACTGACACACGTATCGGCGGAGCAGGAGGATCGATCAAGGGTGGCAGCTCTGATCCAGATACGAAT